GACCTGAGGTGACCTGAGGAGACCCGAGGTGACCTGAGGTGACCCGAGGAGACCCGAGGAGACCTGAGGTGACCCGAGGAGACCTGAGGTGACATGAGGAGACCTGAGGTGACATGAGGAGACCTGAGGTGACCTGAGGAGACCAAGCAACAGCTTCAGTTCTGCAGCAAACCAACACCTCTGGGCATGTGTCTCCAGATGTGTGAGGGCTTTGAAAGGACCATCAGTCTGAGGATGTCAGGAGGTGGGCCAGCAGAGACACTCACCTGTCCGGTGGTGCAGAGGAGTGTGGGCGACATCGCTGTAGGAGGTGAGTGCGGTCTGGTACATGGTGGCCTCAGAGATGAGCTGGAAGGTGATGTTACGGTAACACACCCCCGGTAACCAGTGCTTGAACACCGTCTTCCCTTTGTAGAAATCTGCAAGGACAAAAACACAACGCCTCTAAATCGAGTCTTTTGAATTCTTAGACATTTTACACTAAAACCAAATAAAAGATCTGATGGAGGTCCAGGGGTAACAAGTACTCCAGCTGAAGAGGTTCTGGTTTTTTAATGAAAACGTTGTTGGATCACTTTCTTACACGACATGTCAGATGTAAAAAGAAAAGATCACCAGGGAGAACCAGCCAGTGGATCTCTGGTTCTGGTCCCAAGCCCAGGTAAATGATGAGGGTTGAGCCAGGAAGGGCATCTGACAAAACACTTAGCAAATCTAACATGAGTCCATCTAAGCGACACCATACCGGATCAGTCCAGGCCCGGGTTAACAACGACCTCCACCGGTGCTGTTGACAAACAGGGAGCCAGAGGAAACTGTGCTGCTGTTAGTGGAAGACCACGAGGAGGGAAACATGTCAGGAGACAGAGGAGAAGAGGAAAGTGAAGAATGTAGGACTGAGGGTTGCAGCTCTAAATGTGGGGACAATGACAGGCAAAGGTAGAGAGCTGGCTGACATGATGCTGAGAAGGAAGGTAGATGTTTTATGTGTCCAAGAGACCAAGTGGAAGGACAGCAAGACTCACAGCACTGGAGCAGGGTTCAAACAGTTTTACCATGGTGTGGATAGAAAGAGAAATGGAGTAGAGGTGGACCTGAAGGAGGAGTTGGCAAAGAATGTAGTAGAGGTGAAAAGAGTGTCAGATAGGGTGATGTGCCTGAAGGTAGAAGTAGAAGGTCTGATGCTAAATGTTGTCAGTGGTTATGCTCCACAGGTTGGATGTGATGTGGAGGAGAAAGATCTGGATGAAGTGATAGAGAGTATTCCCAGGGAGGAGAGAGTGGTGATGGGAGCAGACCTGAATTGACATGTTGGTGAAGGAAACAGAGGATGAGGAAATGATGGGTAGGTTTGGTGTCAGGGAAAGAAACCAGGAAGGACAGATGGTGGACCAAATGGTGGTTAAAAGAAATAAACATTTGAAATATATCAGTCTGTGTGTAATGAATGAATATAATCTACAAGTTTCACTTTTTGAATGGAATTATTGAAATAAATCAACTTTTTCATGATGTTCTCATTTTATGACCAGCACCTGTATGTTGGTAGAAGGATGTTAGAGATGCAGCTACAGGAAAAAGACAAAGAGGAGATGGATGGATGCAGTTAGAGAGGACATGGAGGTAGATGGAGTGAGGACAGAGGAGGTCTCGCTGTGGAGACCCTGAAGAGGGAAAATCCAAAAGAAGATGATGATTTTCAGTTAAATCTAGGATGGAGTTCCTCTGGGATCAGTACTGTGACTTTCTGATTTTATCCCTGTGTTTCTATAAATCAATTAGATTTGTAATCCGTGGAAAAGGACACTTGTTCAGCTGCAGCAGCAGTGACACCACCAGGGCTCACAGAGAACATGATGTTCTGGTGGAGTCTCAGCAGGAGGACACGTTGAGTGAACGGGTCGGAGCGGCTGAGGGTTTGGACTCACGGACTGTCCCTCACAGCCGAACACACCCACCTTTATAAAGCATGGAGCGGCGTTGCTGTCCTTCAGTGTAGCTGATGTTGACCCTGCTGAAGACGGTTCTGAACGGAGGGTCGATGTCGAACACCACGCCGGTCTCTGGAGCCTCACTGAAGTCTGAGATGTGAGCGGTGCGGACAGGAAGTGGCTCTGAGGAGAGAAAACAACAAAATAAAAGTTAACTCTTATTTTACTCAGACTGCTTAAAAGAAATGAAGCAATTTGTGGTGAACTTAAGGCCCGGTTTACACGAGGCACTTTTTGAGATGTTCATGAACAGAACAGCCCTGGTCCTCTGAAACCAAAGGTTTCTGAATCCTGGTCTGAGAGCGGAGGTGTTCAGGGCTCACATGCTCACTCCAGGAGGCTGCAGTCAGAGTGTTGTTTGTGCTGCTCACAAAACAACAACATCCTTGGTCCAGAGGAAAGTTAGGATGCAACTGTCCTGCTGACGCTGCTGATCCTGGCTTCAGGGTTGCCAGATAAACAGTTTCCTTTAGCCGCTCTTATCTGTGCACGCTCACCAAACAACTCGCACCTCAACACCCTCACCCAGCACAGAGGACAGTTTGGGTCAAAATACAATCGTTTTAAAGTGACACTACAATAGTTCCTTTCTTATCTGGCAACCCTATAGCATTGTCATGTAAACTACATCTATTTTTGTCCTGATGCATGCTCAATAATCGCATCGATAGCCAACGGATATCAATATCCATCGTCTACTTTCATCTATTCATCCCAACAAAGACTGAAAACGTTTGCAGAGGTCGTCCTCATGTAAAGAGGCCTCATCGAGGGATTTATTTCCAAATATACGGAAAGCTTTAGATGCACAATAACTTTAAATTAAGAGGTAGTGTCTCTGTTCAAACTTTCACAGGAAGGTACGGCAGAAAATGATGCATTTAAACATTTGTATATAAAAAAAATGAAGCTTTCTGGTCTACATTTTGAGATAAAACGTAAATATTTATTAAAAATTTTAACAATTGCCCTTTTTAAACACACACATTAACAGGAGTACAGTAGTCCTTCGTTACTTCGTGGTTCGTTTATCGTGGACTCGCTCCATTGAGGTTTTTCAAAATAAGAGTGGACATGACACACAACTGGCTGAATGATGGATGAGCCGCACGATCAGCATGGCATTTTTATTTTACATGAATTATTTTAAATTATGTAGCGCCTGCTGCACCTCTGTGCAGCCCTTACTGCAGGATAAACTTCCTGCTGCAGCTGATCAGCTGTTCTCCGTGCAGAGCGGAGAAGTGGGCGTGGCCGAGAGCGCTTGGCTGAGAGCAGAAATCATGACATGCCGTCTCTTTCAGAGGGTTTAGAGTTTAGAAACATTGTTTAGAATATTGCAAGAGTGTGGGAAGGGTTTAAAATGCCTTTATTTACACCGTCTGGCCAAAAACAAAGGTCCCACTAATATTTGGTTGGACCTCCTTTATCTTTGATCACATCATTCTCTGTGTCTTTGTTTAAATAAACTTCTTCAACGTCACAAGATCTGTTTCATTCAGTGTTGAATTAATGTTTCACCAACATCTTCCATTGATGACGAGACACTGGTCATGATGGTGCATCACTTCTCCTGCCTCTCTTCTGACCCTGATGCACCATCACTCTGGAACAGGGTCGGTCTGGACTCAGACCACATGACCTTCTTCCATTGCTCCACAGTCCAATCTTTATGCTCCCTAACAAACTGAAGTCTTTTCCCCAGTTAGCCTCACTGGTTAGTGGTTTTCTTAAACTACCCAGCTGTTCTTGAGTTCCTTCACATTGTGTGTGGAAATGTTCTTACTGTCTCTATGAACCACAGCCCTGAGTGCTGCTGGTGTTCTTCTTCCATTTGATTTCACCAAACGTTTAAATGATCACTGATCACGATCATTCAGGATTTATTTTCAGCCACATTTCTTCCTGGAAGACGATGGGTCCCACTGTCCTTCCAGTGTTTAATAATGTGTTGGACAGTTCTTAACCCAGTTCTAGTAGTTTCTACAATCTCCTGAGATGTTTCCTCTGCTTGATGTCAATGACTTGACCCTTCTCAAACAGACTGACATCTTCTCCACGACCACCATGAGTCTTTCATCATGTTGTTGAAGAAATGAGAAGCAACTCATTGCACCAGTTGGAGTTAAAGAACTTGTTGCAGCTGAAGGATGATCGTCCGTGCAGTGATGATCCAACAGGCTCGGACCTGTTTCATGAGTTACATCCAGGTGGAGACTTGTTTTTGGACAGGCAGTGTGGAATTACTAAAATAAACTACTACTATATTTTTCAGCCTATAAGTCACAGATTTTTTTTGTTATTGCATAATTCACTTGCCCAGCGACTTATAGGCCGAAACAACATATTTATGGACTTTTTCCCATATTTATAAATCAATTTTTGTCTGAGATACGACTGTTTTCATTCATTCTGACTGAGTAGAAGTAGCAGTAAGGCATGCCGTTGTATCATGTAATAGGTAAACATGACTATAATGAAAATTTGTTTTAGGTGCTGTTCTTGTTGAATTTTGAAGGAACGAGCAGCGTTTCCTCCTCTGCTCGCCCCCAGGAGCACCGAGGCACCTGATTTGACAGTTAAAGTCCTTTCATTAATCAAACGTTAGACTGAGACACACCTTCACTATAAAGTCGAGCAAATAAATAATTGTTTCAGATGTTTATCGTGTTAAATTTAGAATAGGAGGCTCGTCTCTGCGCGTTCCTAATTCTGCATGTTGGATTTTTAAACGCAGCTGATTTGACCGTCAAAGTGCATTTATGAAGCAAAAGGTAGACTGGGACAAACATTTACTATAATTCTGAGCAAACAAATCATTGTTTTTAAGTGTTAATCTTGTTAAATCCTTGTTCAAGTCCTCCCGTGCACGCTCCCGCGGCTGTCATTTGGCAGCCCATCGATTTTTGGCACAACACCGGCCCACATTCCCAGGTTCGGCACACGTTTCCGGGCCGTCAGCGGTGAGCAACATATTTATGGATGTTTCCACTTTCTGAGACGTACTTGAACTGGTGTGACTTACAGGGCGGAGCGACAACTACGGTACTTACTGCGTGTACCAACATTCCTACTGGTGGTTTTTCACTTATCGCGGGTCTTCAGGGTACGGATCCCCCGTGATAAACGAGGGACTACTGTACTGCAGACAGCCCATAATATGCCCGTCAACAATCTATTAAATAGCAATCCATAGCAATGACAAGCAAATACATAGATTTTTCCTTTGACCTTGATTTGTGACCTTGAAGCTGTGGTGATAAAAGTGTACAGTACAATCCATGTAGTGATGATGCGTTAGTGATCCAAGTTCCACTGAATCATCTCGAGTGGAGCAGAAGGTGCAGCCTTGACAAGAAAAGTTGGACAGATGGAGACCATCCCATAATAGCTTCGACGGTAGACTAAAAATAAATCAAGTTACTCAACTAAACATAAATAATTTCTTTTCTTAGTTTTTGTTGAAATCCTCTTTGCTCTGTTATTGTTTAAATAATGTATCCAAGAACCTTTCAAATTAAAAGTCCTGCATGGTCCACTTCTGGTTCTGAGTGTTCTTACTTGTGAGAACAGGGATGGTCTTGATGGGTCTGGACCAGCTCAGACCCACTTTGAGCAGCAGTCCCACGGTGTAGCAGAGGCCGTGGAATGAGGCGTTGAACAGCAGGGGCTCGCTGCTGTTCATGAACGGAACCAGAACCCATCTAGGTTCTCCAGAGATCTGCACCGCATAGGCTGTGACATTCTCCTGAAGGTCTGAGCGCTCAAGGGTCACAACAATCAAACCATCGTCGTTTAAGGACACCTGCAACGCCGACGTCGTCTAAACAAACACACAGAGGACAGTTCTTTTGTAAAAACACAAGAACAATTATTCTCTAAAAACACAGAGAACTGTTCTTTTCCTTTTCTAAAAACACAGAACTGTTCTCTAAAAACACAGAACTGTTCTTTTTATTTTCTAAAAACACACAGAGAACTGTTTAAAAACACAGAGAACTGTTCTTTTCTAAAAACACAGAGAACTGTTCTTTTTCTTTTCTAAAAACACAGAGAACTGTTCTTTTTCTTTTCTAAAAGCACAGAGAACTGTTCTTTCTTTTCTAAAAGCACAGAGAA